AAGTAACAAACCATTTTAAGTGATCTGATGTTCTATGAATATAGTAACTAAAGTTACAACTAATCTTAGCTTCAGTCTCTTAATCTAATCAAATTTCTGGGAGAAAAACACCCCTTCAACTATGATCCAGGCAATCTAGAAACCTCCATACAAATTATGGACAAAAGAGGTAATTAAAAATAAAAAATCTGAATAATCAGAGACTAATATTTGAAATAAAAATATTATGAATATAAATTGTTGCTAGTACTCCTATTAACTGATGATACAATCAAATTTGGTTTTGAGTAAAGTACTCAGAGGCCAGATGTTTAAAATGGGAAATAAATAAAAATGGTAATAGCTTTGTTAAGAAACTAAACAGACATTTAATCTTGTAACTAAAATGGTTCAATACCTATATAATTTGCAATATATTCAAATAAGGAGGATAATATGACAGGCATTTAATAGTTTGGATTTAGCTATAAAAGTGATATAGCTTCATAGATCATTTCCTGTCCTCTGAGTACTGGCCACAATATAAAATAATATTAAAGACACTAGGTTCTTAGTTGTAGGAAACAATTTTTCTCTCCCATATCTTCCACTAAGAAAATGTGTCGCAATGAGTTTACACAGCTAAGAGAAAATTTGAGGTCTGAAACTTTGGTCTCTTATTCCTAATGTGATAGCCTGATAAGGATTTATAGAAAAAAAAAGGCTCACTATCTCTAAAATCTATCTTTTAAACATCAAATATGTTCAAGGAGAGGAATTACTTCATTTCTCTTTTACAATGAAGAATTCACTAACTCATCTCAAATCTGTGGTTCCTATTTCCTTACCTAATATCCAGAAAAAAAATATCCAGTATTCTTTAGTCACACAAAAGGAATTCTCCTTCATTAAACATTTTAAACATCTTCATCAAATACTTGTAGTTAGTGACCAATTCATTCTAGGAATAAATTATGATATTAAAAATTTTGGATTAATTCACCAAAGAATATTCAGTCACTAATTTTATGTGGAGCAATCATGCATTATCAAGCATTTATTTAGTATACTGGTATTTTGAACAAGACTGAAATGCAAATCAAGGCTAGAGTTCAAAATTGGTTGCCTATTCAACTGCCATTACTGCCCACTCAAAAGCAAATGACTCCTTTCTTTGCTAACAAAACAAAACTTGCAAAGCTATTTAGGTACCTGGAGACCTAAGTGGTTTGTAGGCCTGCCCCTATCCTCTCCCTGGTTCAGAGAAAGAGAGATATTGAGATATTGAGATTTTGAGAAGACAGACATCAAATTTATCAGGCACTAGTGATCAGAGTAGAAAAATGGAAAGGCAACAAGTCCTTGAGGACATCATTGCAGTGCTAACCGATCTGACTTCTTGTTATGTGAGAGAATAAATCGTCGGTTATTTCAAACCTAAAATTTTAGTTAGGTTTTCCATTATCACAGCCCAAAGGTCCCTAACTTATAAAAAGCCTTTACTTGAGAAAAAAGACCATTTAAACTCAACCTGGACAGAAATAGTAATAAACATAATGGAGCTGCGGCATTTTATCTGGTTAATAGTTAATCCGCACTATTAACCGGTTAATATGTAATCTGCACTATTAACCGGTTAATAATTAATCTGCATTTTTAACGGGTTAACAGGCAATCCACATTATTAACCGGTTAATAGTTAATCCGCACTATTAACGGGTACACCTAGTAAATGTGCTAGGAACTGTGCAAATAAAAACAAATGACAGACACTAAATGGGCCCAAAACTACCTCCAATAAACAACATCCATCACAAAGAGATAAATACTAAGTAACATAAAGAAATACATATTTTAATTGGAAACTTCCAAGGTAATTTTTAATTAAATTTAAAAAGTAAATGGCAAAAAAAGGAAACACTGTTTTCAAGAAGTCCATAAAATGGTGTAAAACCATCTTCTCTTTAAGATCTTGACAATGTTTACATTTCCCATGTCTAATGGAAATAGTTCAATCTAATCACTTCAGAAGAATGAGATTCAACAAACTCAATTTTTTTGTCCCACATATTCTAGAAATAATTATATGCAAAAACAGAACATGCACATTCTCTGAAAGGTAAAAAAAAAAAAATTAAGCATTTATTATTACTGGAACATATTTAACAAATGGAACCTTTATTTCAGAATCCACATATATGTGTATCCTTTGTATTACTAAATTATATCACTGCTGCACTATTTTATATGGAAAGAATTTACTATCACTCAGCAATTATTAACAGTCCCTAATAGAGCAGAATGTGATTTTTACCATGTACAACAATAAAGGGAAAAACTGAGACACAGAAATTGCCATAAGAAGACCTGAGGAAAGCTAAAGAGGCAAACAATAACAGTTGGAACCTACTATTACAACTGACTGATAAACTGAATGCAATTCCCCAGTAATAGAAAAAATTATACATGTAAATTGACATATACATATATACAAAGAACCGAAAAAGCAAGGAAAATAATTAAGAAGGAATTTTTTATAGCCTGAATTACATAGAGAAGTGTGGTTTCAAAATCATAGCTGCTAAACAGCAGGTTCTAGTGAGTCATATTTGCTTGTTCAAAGAAACTTGGGAAATAAATGTGGTGTAGTCAATAAGAGATTATTAATTAAATTATTACCCAAGAAATTTAATTTTATGAGAACCTAATAGACATATATATATAAGTATAATGTAATCCTAACCAAGCACTGAAATACATCCTTAGAGAAAATAAAGTCTTAAAATTAATGTTACAAAAAAAATTTCATGTGTACATAATATTAAGATGCAACTTAATCATAAATGTGTGGACTTTTTAGGGAATTTGGAAACAATGATGGTGCCAGTTACAAAACAAAGGAGATGTTAAGGGAAATGGCAGATATTAGCTTATAAGATTACCTTTTTAAACCTATTAAATTCTACATGAATTGTAATTCTTCTTGAACTCAAGAGCAATAGTGCTTAAACTGAATGTGTATTTTTTTATTTTCATTTTATGGAGCAACCACATTATAACCATAAAACATTTTATGGCATTGCTTTATATCCAGTTTATTTTGTTCTCAAATACATTAATATATAATATTTATAAAACTTTTTAAGTCCTCTTCATTATCTCTTTAAATCCTTTGAAGAAAATCTGTGATGTTATCTTCTTAACAAGGTAAAACCATGGAAGAGGGCTTGTATACCGTCATTTCTATAGTAACAATAATATCTTTATCTTCTAAGAAGTCTTTCACAGAATCCCAGACACTGGCATGCTATAATAATGCAATTAGGAATGAAAACTTTATAACAGAAACTAATTAAATAAGTGAGATGAAAGACTAATATTACTCAAAAAATTATCAAGAATACAAGAAAAATGGTACCTATTTTTTAATACAACTAAAATATGTGTTAAAGAGCTCTTATTATAAAGTAGTTTTTTAAATAAAAGTTGTATTTATTTCCTGGATTATTTTTTTTTCAAATACATGATCAAATAAGTAAATAAAAACCTGGTAAAAATGTATAGGTCTTATAGTAAAAAGGCCTCAACCTACTAGTTAAAAATAAATAAGGGAATAGATATTCCTATAGGTTCAATTAATTAAAAAGGAGATAACCAGCTCTCCAAATTGATCATGCACAACAATGCCATCCTCAACCCCAAGGAAATTTCCCCTACAGTGAATTTTGTCCACTATATAAGATTGTTTTTATGGGTTTTTTCCCTCCTTTTGTTTATTCATTTTTATTGTTTTATTGTTTCATGCACTCCATCATGTTATGCTTTGCTTGGAATTTTTTTTTAATAAATTAGAAAATTACATTGTGGTCAGAATTATTCATGGGTATCTTCTATCATTAGAACTACATTATCCTAAATTTAAATGAGTTTAACCTCAAGGAGAGCTCTCACGACATTCAAGAAACACTGGCCACATGTTACAGACTTCCTGGACTTTGTTGAAGCACTTTGTATTTTTTCACTATAATTTTAATTTTCCCCTAATCTTCCTCAATTATAGTATAAAAAACTCATAAATTCCGAACTTCTTGCTTTTATATGAGGAATTAAAACAAATAAAAATTATAATTTTAATGACAAATAAATGACATCACTTGGAAGCAAATATTTAAAATCGTATAATAGAACTAATACATGTGTTATCAACTTACTGCTTTTGAAACTTTTAATTTCTGGGCCCTCATGTAATTTAATAGGGGTTTTTATGAAAGACAATTTTGCAAGAAATCAGAAGGGGTTCCCTTGACATACTAAAAGATTATTTATGTCACTGTCCTTTGAAAAGGTTATAACTCTTTTAAATGAGGTTTCCTTAGTTCACCCACCCACTTCTCCATCTCACCGAAGGCTTTGAGCAATTCCTTCATCTCAGAAAAAGAAGCAAACGGCTAAATTTAGAAGTGTCTGGACCATCAGGAATAGCAATATCAGCTGAGATTCCTGATTAGCATTATGTCTGCTAAAAAAAAGGTACCAAAACAAAACAAACAACAAAACAAAACAAAACAAAAAAACAAAGTAAGATCTATCTAGGCCATCTTTTCACCTTTCTTTATTTCACAAGAGAGAAGCATTCAACACATTTGTTTTGGTAAACAGTAAAGAACTACTGATGGAGCTCTTATCTATAAAAAGTATCTCTACCTTATCATTATTGCTAATAAAGTTTAAGTTCTGTAACATGCTAAGAGAACTTAGTAATTTCAGTATTTAATGAGATAAAACAATCTTAGTACAAACTCTTTCTGTGGCCTCTATAAGCAGAGTATTGTCAACTTCTCTTGTGTTCAAAATTCAGATTATCGCTCCTAATTACATCTAGCTCCAGAGAATATCCAATGTGTGGTAGGTTTTATAAAAGGTCCTGCACTGTGCTTTTCCTCCCCATTATATCTGTGATGAGAAAATGATGAAAATGCAGCCTTAATCCCCTAAAGACAAAGTCTCAGAATTCAACTTACCTGACAAGATTTTCATTGTCTCCAGTTCCCTTGCAAGTTGCACATTCAGTTCGTAAATCTTCAGCCTTGGGCTTCTTCTGTAACACAGACTGCCTCTGTCTTCTCTCTCTAGGAACTCTCTCCTGCCATCCCAGGAGAACAAAACAAAACATAAAACAAAATCAGGCTACGAGGAAAGCAGAAATAATTTTTAGCAAAAAAGTTTTTCAAAGTTTAGACTGTCCAAGAAATGCTTAACTTATTCCAACCTCATGTTTTTCTTCATCAGGAATGAAGCTTCGTTTCCGTCCTCTGGTTCTCTAAAAAAAAGAAAAAGAAATCCACAAAAATATCTAATGTTTAATTAATGATAAAAACAGTTTTCTCTGTTAAACGTTACCACTTAGGTTAAGCACTTAGAAAATTAGTATTTCTAAGTAATGCTGTATAGCTCTATTGCACTATTTATGTCTCATGGAAAAAAAAAACATGAAAAATTAAACACTTTATAGTGCTATACTTTTAAATAGCACAAGTATCTGAGAGGAAAACAAAGTTATCCAAAATTAGTTTGAATATTTTTTAAATAATTCATACACAATTATGATTTGTGCAGAAAATTTAAATTTTCCTAAGTTATACGACTTCTACAGCTGAAATGCTAAACCTAGACCCATACTACATCGACTGTATGCCCGTGTATGTGGGTATGCATGCATGTTTGTGCAACAAAAATAATCAATTTTTTTAAAAAATATATTTCTTTATTGATTTCAGAGAGGAAGGGAAAGGGAGAGAGAGATAGAAAGATCAATGATGAGAGAGAATCATTGATCGGCTGCCTCCTGCATGCCCCCTACTGGTGACCGAGCCCACAACCCGGGCATGTGCCCTTGGCCAGAATCAAATCCAGGACCCTCAGTCCACAGGCCGAAGCTCTATCCACTGAGCCAAACCAGCTAGGGCAATAATCAATTTTTTAAAAAGTGGGAGGAAAAGATCTCAGATGTCCCCAAATTCTAGTTAAAATAAAACTAAGCAAAATATGATATAAATGACTTATTTTAAATTCATTTAATATGTATTTCAGAACACATTTACCATTTGAAAGACAATATCCAAAGGTTTAAGAGTAATAAAGTATGAACTACAGAAGTATTTACAGCCGATATGTTAAAAATCTCCACCCACATAGCACAGCCTCTGTAGACCTACAATTCCATGTGCAGATCACTGCTCTTCAGAGAATGGAAGAGAAAGGCGGCACCACTCCCACAAATTACATTCCCAGATTATGGTTACCAAATAATTCTAAAAAGAATTGCTATTCAACATAATACATTGATGTTTTCCTAAAGTACTGTCATTTCAATTCATAATGCTGAGTCCCTTGTTATTGTAATCCCATGGCTCATTGCATACTATTTAATCTGCCTTTAGATAACCAATACTTGACTGGACTAGTCATTTAAAATAAGTAAATTTATAAACTATGTATTCATTTACATTTGTACTGCCAATTAGTACGTTTTAATCACATTATGTAGGGAATTAGGAAAAAAAAGTAAGACTGTATCAAGAAAAGTCTTTAAATGCAGACCCTACATCTATTCTTAATCCCAAAGAACAGTACTGAGCATTGCTCCTCAAAATACCATTCATGGCTCATAAGCACTGGCCTTCCCTCGGACCTTGTTGGAAATGTAGAATCCTAATTCTTACTACATACTGAATTGAAATTTGCCTTTTAACAAGATCCCCAAGTAAGCCACACTCACATTAAAGTTTGAGAATATTAGCGCAAAAGAGTCCCTAATATTGACAACATTTATCTAAGTTCTAACTCAAACTTTATGTCTATCTCTTTACATATCCATCTTTCCCTTCTGTGACATGCCTATCCTTTATGCTTCAATTTCTGTCCTCCAACACAGTTCATCTCCAAACTGGTAAGGTCATGTAATACTCATCTTTCTAAACCCAATTAAACTTAATAAGATATGTATTACAAAGTCTGAATAAATTTGTTGGAATAAAATAAATAAGTGGTTGGATTGAAACTCATAAATGATTATGCTAGAAAATATAAATGATAAAATATTGTCAAAAGGGCAAATTATTGCCCAGCTGGCATGGCTTATAGATTGATCATCAACCTATAAACCAAGAGGTCACAGTTTGATTCCAGGTCAGGGCACATGCCCGGTTGCCGGCTCAATCTCCAGGGTGGCTCCTTCCCTCCTCCCTTTCTCCCTCTCTGAAATCAATTTTTAAAAAGGATAAACTATTGTTTCCTTCTCTAATAAGCTATTTTCTCAATTTGCATAATTTTTGCATATAAGGTATTTCAATTAAGGTGACCAGAATAACCAATATCAAAGGGAAAATATTCAAATTACTCATTTTACTAGTAGTTCTATAAACATGTCAGAATGCCAGAATGCTCACAACGCCTTCACACACTGCCATATTTCTCTTCATTTAATCCAACTTTTAGGTAATGAAATAGCAAATGAATCATTTAGTTTTTGAATCACCTAATCAGTGAAATGATTTTTGAAATATATAGGTGAAAGCTCCAAGTTCACGTTTTCAATTCTTTAGAAGACATACAATTATTTACAATTTATAATTAATACTTTAAATCTTCAAGCATCTGGAATGACTCCATCAATTCAAAGTTTTTCATACTCATACTGCAATTAGTATCAAAAGGCACAATAATGCCAATAAATGATCATAACAAACGATGGCATAATTACACCTCTCTATATTTTTAACTTCCTTCTTATATAAATATGCATATATTAAATGCTATTTTTAAAATGAGTAAGTGTATTTATAAGTATCTAAAACAGTTATTTTAAATTAAGTGCACTTATTACTAAATAGTAATCATTGTTGTATTCCTGTAGTAATTTTAAATAACTAACCATAAGCAACATAAACAATTTCTAGTCAGAAAAATACTATAAGAATATGAAATGACATTGTCTTAGAGCTTTGAAAAAGCAGTCCAGGGAAGTGACTTGATGATCACATAGCTGATAATTAACAGAGGTAAACTTCCAATCCAGGTGTCTCAACTCCCAATTCAGTAATTTTTCTTGCATGCCAAATCCAAATTAATAAATTTAATCCCAAATAGAGATAAGCAAAATTATCATGAGAAAAGAAATATCTAACTCTCACTTGAATACTTAAGCTGTAACATCACAATGCCTACATGAATTCTTATGTTTCGAAACAAGTAAGTTAGAGAATTGTACCCAATAGAGAGAAGACCTCAATATCTCAAATTAACACTGTATTCTACCCAATTTGCTATCCTACACAGTATAGTGACTACCATGATCCATTACCAAAGTAAATTATAGCAAGCTTCTTCAGCATTTATCACATCACTAATATTCACAAAGAAAAATATATAAGGTGATTTAATCCAAACACAACTCTTGACAATACCAACTCCTCCAAGAAAATGCTGAGAGCTATTGGTTTCTTTCTAGTTTCAATGAAATAGTCACAACAAGTCATAATTGCCTATGATCACAACAGAACATATCTTACACATGGTATCCCTGAATGAATTAGAAAATGTAAGGGGAGTGAAAAAGTGGGAGAAATTATGCAAAAAAGTAAAAAGAAAGAAAAACAAAAACATGTTCGGCTCATCCAACAAATTTCAATTATCAAAGAACTTGCCCCATCTTAGATGTATAGATGTATTCAAAACCAGGTGGCAATTTTATGATATACATTGAGGCTGACACTATTTTAGAAACAAAATAAAGCAGACACATTACCTAGAAGTTCCAAATGATCAACTGAAGGTTCAATTCCAAATTGTGGTTCTTTTTGCAATTATTAAGCTATTAAAAGCAAATGGAAAGTTTGAAACTCACTCCAAATCTTGACACATTATTATTATTATTTTTTTTGGTTTGTCATATTTTAAGAACTTTATTTGCCTAAAGAACTATTCAACCCGAGCTGCTTAGATCACCTGGCTCTTTATCTGTGTATAGTACATTTACTTGAAAACAGGAGGTGATAAAAACATCCACCAAGAGAATGAAATGGTATTAGAAAATAATAAAATATTTTAGTAGCTTATTCACCTGAAACAAATAATTAAATGTTTCAATAACTTCATTTGGACTAGAAGACATGTAACAAATTTAAATTAATTCTTTAGAACAGGGGTTATTTTAATTTGCAATTGTTTGATGCATGATGATTTTCCCAAGGTTAGAATGATTCATTTGACAAGTGGACTAACTTTAAAGCTAGAAGACAGTATCTCCATATCTTCATCTTTAATATCATAGGATGGGTTTTACGCATTCATATGTGCAGTTTTCTCTGTACTTAACAATTTACCTTTTTTATGATAAATCAACATTTACACAAACAACAATTAATAGGTAAGCCATGAGCCAGGCTGGTATGGCTCACTGGTTGAGCGTCCATCTATGAACCAGGAGGAGGTATTGGTTCGATTCCCAGTCAGGGCACATGCCCAGGTTACAGGCTTGATCCCCAGTATGGGGTATACAGGAGGCAGCAGATCAATGATTCTCTATCATCATTGATGTTTCTATCTCTCCCTCTCCCTTCCTCTCTCTGAAATCAATAAAAATATATTATAAATAAATAAACTATGATGTAGCCAGATAAAACATAAGGAATGACTTGCTATGTAATTTATATATATAAATTCTTATTCTTGAGCAAAATTTCAAATTCAATGTTAAATTAGGACAAGTAAATCAAACCTTGAAAACCTCTGTAAAGCCAAATATCTTCAGATTTATACTAAGGAATAAATGCCAGAAGCTATCTGGCAGCTGTTCAAA